CATCTCGCCCTCATCCTTTCTGCATTTCTTTGCTGTATTTGTTTCCACTTTTTGGTTTTTCGTGTGAAGATATTTATTTAAACCTACCATATAATGTTACCGTGCGAACCACCTGAACTTTTGTAGAAGTTCTGGATACTTCTGTAATGAGTTTCCTGTTTCTTTTATTTGTTTTTGCTTCTAGGATTTAGGTTAGTATGTATCATTCCAAAATTTATGGAGCCTCCCACTTTAGTATGTATTGGGTCAAAACATTTTACTAGAGCATCATCTTAATAATACAATATTTATGTAGTTCAACACGTTGTACTAAAAGAGGCTGAGGGCACCCATTATAGCATGCAGAAAGTTTAGAGGCAGTCTTTGTTTTATTATTGTTTCACTGAAGGTACCATTTATTTAGCAATTTATTCAATTCATTGTTCACTAGCTATTTTGATTTGAAGTTAACCAAATGATTATCATGACTAGTCCTGTTTCAGGCTTTCACTATTCGCGCTTATGTTCTTCATTAACCAAGTAGATTCAATTTAAACCGCATGGAAACAGGACCTGTGCAGTTCTTACCAAATTAGTAAACATTTTCCATTAGGACTTGGGAAACTACATGAAATGTTCTGCTCCATTTTTATGTTACCAACCCATTCCCCTAGAGATGGCTAATTGGACAAGTTTTCTTCTTGAATTGATGCCGTATTTAATAGAATGTTGGTTTATATAGTTGAAATATTGCGTTTCCATTCTTGGCCTTGCACCTAATTAATAATTTAATCATTGTGTGCTAGATTTTTTTAAAAGCTAGCATAGTTAAATGGACTAGTGCCATCCCAAGACAATTAATGGATAATACTTTAATCAAAATTCAAGTACTTGCCAAATCTAATGGGATGCGCTGACATGAACTCTCTTTGTGGGTTGGAGGGAGTAATATTTGTCAGAGTGAAATTATCTTAAAGTGCATTATCTCTAAATACATTTTAGTTGTTAAAAACTCAAACTGGCCCATATGCTAAAACTGTTAAGTTGCAGAAATAGTCCAGAGATTGGCATCGGTAGCTCTGTGGGCCAGTATGACACAAATCCCTAGGAAGTAAAGCCCATTATTACGCTGCCCTTATCTTATATTAGTTAGCCTTGGAAACAAATAACCCTCTTTTTTCATATCTTGCTCTCCTCCGCAGCCGCCGCAGGGGTGAACGTTCAGGTAATTATTTTCCGTATCAATTTGGCAGCCGAATTTTTATTTCATTTCCTTCTTCTCCCACCATCAACATTTACTGCTGAATTAAACGTATCTACCTTTTACCATCAGAGCATAAGCCCCTCATTTAGAGATATTTGGAGTGCAATTTAATAACTGTGTAGTGGTCCAAATTGGTACTTCCATTCCAAGGTCGCCAGTTGGATTGGCTTCGGTCAGTGAAATATCTGACTTATTTCTTCTTTAAATATTTCCTTTGAACTAATAGTTATTGTCCAATCCAATCTACGGGGTCTTTTAATGTAAATATACCTTTATTTTTCATAGGTCTGTGGGGGTTGGCTTCAGTTGTTGTGATCTACTTCGATTCAGTTGAGAACACTGAAATGTGACTTCTTAACTTTTTTATATTTAATTCTGGAGAAGGTGAATTCTCCATAAGCAAAATCTTTTTTCTATTTCTACGATCTTCAGGAGTTTCCGTAGAAAGGAGTTTTCTTTTCCGATCACGGTATGTAAGTGCTACATATAGCGTAAGCGCAAAACCTCTCTAAGCTCCGCAAATTAAGATTTCTTGAACCAGCATCAAGAAATGAAGAAAGGCTCGTAAAAATGGCTCGTTGAAGTGATCCCTCTTGCTTTAGCATAAAAACTTAAAAAATGTGCTATTTCATCCATAACTTGCCAAATTCGTCGAACACACAGATTTTACATGTCGAACCAGCCGCTGGTTTTAAAAATTAGCATTAAAAAGAATGGCAAAAGAAGCTATGAGGCCTCCAAAAGCAGGGATAAACAATGGTGAATGGAGGGGCCCTTGGTTTGTACTGTAGTTCTCTTAAAATTACAAAATAAAAATTGTTTGAATACGATTTTTTTCTTAGATTGGTAATTTGATAGTTTCTTCTTGGAGAGCGATAGGCTGCAATAATTCTTTCGAGATAAATAATTTGGCAGCAAACTTGATGAGATGTACTTGCTTTTGACTGATGTTTAGGAAAGTCCAGCAAAATGCACTTTGGACATCAAAATAGTTATAAATTATTATATCATATGTTTGATTCTGTAGATTGCATCTTTAGATATATTTTTTACTGTTTTAGAGAAATGACCAATTCTTGGCTTTATGAATACTTTTCTAATGCTTCTACTATATGTTCATTTAAGTGCATTTCTGTCAGAAATTGAGATACGGTAAGCATTGCGGGACAATCCATAAACCATCTGAGACGAGGAATCGTAACTCGAGAAACTGAACAAATTTAATGACTTTCATTTTATCTAATGTTTGAGTTCTAGTAGCTATTATCTTCTAATATCTCATTAAATTTCTTTTTCACAGGATCAATACTGGGCGCCTCCAAACTTTACAAAAATATTGTCTGGGAAACTGAAGCAGTTGTGCTCAATGGGAAAACTTATCAAGGTAATTCTTGCATTTTAATTGCTACACACACATATTATTTAGCTTTTGCATTTCACCTAATTTTACCACTAACAACTTAATTTGCTTGAAATTTATCGTCCGGATCGAAGCATTTGATGAGATATTTTATGTGGAGGAATTTAATCAATTGTGAAATCCAAACAACTTAGTTGACTTGAAATGTACTCGCCTCAAATTTCATCCATTATTTCCTTTGTATGCATACATTTCAATCACACACAGAGAGAGAGAGAGAGAGAGAGACTCTACTCTCTCTCTCTCTCTCTCACACACACAGCACAAGATAACATACAAACACATTTTGATCTTACACCCAAATACACGCACACGCAAACACCACCTTTTCACACACTGCACACTTTGAAAATTTCGTCGGTTCTAAATTCCTATATTCTAACGTATCTCTATTATCCAATAAACAACAATTGAGAAGGAAAATTTAAAACTAGTGATGGACCTCAAATGCATGTGTGCCCATCCAATGCAGATAAAACGCAGGTTCAAAATAGCCCCTTTGGCAGCACCATCCCTTCCGAGACGAATGCCGTCCAATTCGAACCTCGAGGCTAGGAGGCGTAGGATCTCCGCCAGAATCGGCCCTCCTGAGAATTTCAGTTACTTGAACGAGGAGGACATTGATATGGATGAGGACTGGGATCTGTCTCGACTCACCCCAGCTGAGGCTGCCGCCGCTGCCGCCCGAGCCGTGGCCAAAGCCGAAGAGGCGATGGCGGCGGCCGAGGAGGCACTTCGTGAGGCCGAGGCAGCCGAAGCTGAGGCTGAGGCAGCTGAGGCTTATGTGCAGGCAGCGTTGAGGACAATGAGAGGTGGCCGGAAACTCCCGTGAGATGGTAAGTTCTATTTATAATTGTTCTCTCTTTTTTTTTTCCTTCACTTTTTATGTAAGGATATAATTTTAACTTCTACAACTGAAATTCGGGAGTTATGGAAGTGACCAAGAGAAGTTCCAAAAGTTGCGGAAAATCCCCATTGATAGTTAATTCCATCTCATATTTCATAAATATAAGGAGCGCTTGGAGGCTCGCTATCAACGTGCCAGAACCGTGACTTTTGCTCCTTTCTCTCTCTCTCTCTCTCTCGTTCTNCAAACCGTGTCATTGTTTTGCCAGGGGAAGTCTGTTTCGGCTAATATAATGTTAATCTGTATGTTTGGATGCTCATTGGAATTCTATCGTGCAATTTTTGCATATGATCAAGAAAAATGGAGAAATACTGACTTCAATTTTTTGTATAAATGTATGTGATTGTTGCTAATGACAACTGTTACTTGTCCTTGAAGTTTAGCCAAATTACAAGTTAGGCATTTTTATGTTTCGAAATTTAAGTATCTTTTGGCAACCAGGGTAGACGTCTGAGGTCGTTTTTGTGGCTAACCATATGATGTTACGATTGACGAGTATGCGATTAGTCATTAATTGCCTTGAAAGAGCAAGATATGTGCGTTTCGAGTTTACTTGATTGATTTTATTATTGGTTGTATGTGCAGGTGATGTTTCATGGTTGATGGAGCCCAGTGTGTGGATTAACCCAGTTAGAGCAATGTGTCTAGTTTGGACCCAATTTCTGTTTCTGTTACAAGCTGCTCTATGTAATGTGTTAAATTGTTGTTTAACCTGTACATTGCTGTGGCCTTCAGGGATTGTTACCATTATTTATATTTTTATCAGTTGTTTTCTGCTACATTTTCTTAGGACTAATGCTTGTTTGCTCCAGGTTGAAAATAGCTGGAGAGATGGTATCAGGATTCAGGAAATTAAAATTGTTTATTAACATTTTCTCTATCATTTTCTTATCTTGCCAAAGAAAAAAAAAAAAAAATTGCATATTTTCTTTTCCAAGGCAAACAAAAAAATTTATAACTCAAACGAAAAGTAAAGTATTGGGTAATCAAATGATTACCGAGCAAAGACGACTCAGGAACTACGAGAAAGAGTAAACTCTTCCCCTCAAAGACCAATAAGGTCATACTAAAACAAACAACCTACAACACTAAAAAGAGTTCAATCTTACAAGCCACAAAAAGAGTCAAAATTTGCTCTAAGCGAGGAGCACAAGTACAATCAATATGAACATACTCCTTCAGGGCTTTCACAGCTACTGCAATATTCAGAAAACAAATACATGAGAAATATTCTAGGTCTGTGCCTGACCAGACAGATAGGGGAATAAATCTTGCGACTTGAACTAAATTAAGAGAGAGGATGGCTTGAGCTCCGTTAGTGACAGTCATCTCGACATTTTGGCACCGGTATAACGGAATAGTGGCAAGAGGGGTGGCTTGGAGAATTGATTTTTTTGTTTTTTGTCATGGTATTTAGCAGATTTTGAGAAGAAGAGGTTGAAGAGTTCGATGACATACTGAAGAAATGCCTGAAAGATCGTCGAGGTCACAGAAGAGAGTCTGGATAATTGCGGGACGAGTCTGGAAACTCAAAGTTGAGATGAAAGAAAGAGGAAAAAATACTGTTGTAGAAGTCGAGAGTGTAAGCGAAAGAGGGGAGGAAAGACAACTTAGAATGGTTCTTATAAGCCGCATAAGGGAAAGACAAATCCTACCGTTAGAAGGTACGTATATTAAGGGCTTAGATTTGGGAACAGAATACGATATGACATGTACACGTGGATATAAGACGTGTCGAAAGACGGATATTAGCATGTAAGGAGTCTCTTTTTGGTGTCTAATGCTGTCCCAGGTTATTTAATGAACATAAAAGAAGAGAAAATGCTAAGATTCAGTGAAAGTGACCGTTTCATCTTAAGTCCGGTCAGCTCGTCCTGAAATGGGGGCCTAGATGATGTGGCACTCATAATAGCTCGGTAGATTGGCTTGAGGAGATAGCTCGGTTAGGCCGGTCTAGGAGAGCTCTATTATGTTAAGAGATAATTTATCTAGTTAAATAGCTCGTATGCGGGCTTAAGGTACTGGCCTGTGGGTGTATATAATGAAACCTTAGCTCTGGATGATATTTACACTTAATTTATGTTGAATGAGAATCGTGCATGATTAAACAAGTTCTATGTTCTGTTATTTTGCACTTAAATAAAATGGTTCATTCGTGGTGAACAGAAGATCATTTTATCAGCTACTTACGAAATAAGAATGATTGGTTTATTACAGAGAAAATGCAATCCAACAAATGAAGGTAATACCATATCAGGAAAGTAGCTAAGAGTATCAACCGTACAGTTGATCTTGACTGATTAGTTGCACTAATACATTTATGTATTGAACAGGATCCTAGAGAGGAGCAGTCATTTTATAATGATTGTCGTAAACGAACTAGGCCTCGGTTAATTACTGCGTTCTCTTAACCCGTAAGATATAAATAGGCACGTGCATGCAGTAGCCGTTACTTTGATTCACCAAAAGTGAGATTCATTCTGCTGGATCAATAATCTTGATGTTTTAGGTAATAATGCTACATGTACAATGTGCTATTAGAATATTTACGGTCACAATGTGCATTAGTTTGATGATGTCCTCGAAGTGAGCTCATGAAGGATTGTTATGTTAAACCTTGCAGGTGCATTAAGTTCCGACATTATAATAATGGGATGAGTGGTACTAGCTTTGGTTTACATGATACCAATTAATTCTTGATTATCAGTAATTGAAAAATTGATGGACACTATATCTTAAACGTGAGAGGTAATTCGAGTAATTATTAGTGGAGTCTCGAATATAGTTTCGGGGATGATAAGGGAGTACAATAATGTTTCGTTAGTGGATCGAAGTATTATTTAAGTTATTGAGCAGAGTGGGGTTGGCCCATAGTTAGGCCCCAATACTTAAGGAGCCCAAATCATCACCTCCTTAGGATCCCTATACCTCATTAGGATCCCTACTGTAGCTCTATAAATACACCATTAAGCTCATAGGATTGAGGGAGACACACATAGCCTCACTCATATACACGTTCGGCCGCCTCTCTCTCTAGTTTCCAAGTCGAGATTTATCTTCGTTTTGTTAATCCACTGGGACATACGGAGAGGTGTCCAGTAAATATCGGAGATGGAACTATATTCATCCGCTTTCTGGACGTTAAAAACCCAAAGGGGCTGAGCGACAATAGAAGATACCGAGGTACCGAGACCCCGATATCGACCGCCGCACGTGAGCCGCGACCACCGCACGCAGCCCACAACCAGCCGCGACGATCCCGCGTTCCTTACGATCCACCGTAGCCAGCTGGGACGCACACAACAGCAACCCCCGACGATCTCGAGTTCCCGGCGACCACCTCGATGGCGACACGTCCACGCTGCAGCTCGCTCCCGCCGACGTCCGCAACCCACTGGACCCTAGTGACGCTCCCGACGAGCTTCTCGACGTCCGACGAGAAGTAATCTGGCTCTCTAACGAATTCTGAGTACAAACGATCTCCAACAGTAAAAATCTACAACGTTTCAGAGTCTGCAGTTTTAAGCCGTAAGTTTTCAACTATAAACCTTTAGATTCGTTGCGCGTAGGTTTATTGTTGTTGTTTGAATTCCTCACTTTATACATAACGAGATCCTCACTGATTTCAACATGGCCGACCTGTGGGTGCCAACCTCTAGGTGCTCGGCAATACAGCCGTCCTCGAGGTATCGAGGTCGTACGACCTGAGGTCAGGGTATACCTCAAGATGAGGTCAGGATAAGTCATAACAAGTATGTTAGGAGGTTGAGGTTACGACTTGGGGATTTAAGGGCTATACAGTAAGGGAAAAAGAATCTTAGTAAGGAGGAAAGAATCGCTTTCTCAAGGACACTTGCCTAGATAGAAACGTGGTAAGTTAGGAAGTGTGATCTGGTTAGATCTCTTTCATAACAAGGTCTATCTAGGGCTACAAGAAAGCTGCCCTATATAAAGGTGTTGGGTTCTTCTTCATAACACATCGCATTCTACTCAAATTATATATTCTCGTATACAATCATTGAGCGAGCTCTGACTTAAGCTTCACCCGAGGCCTCCAGAAAGAGAAGTAAATCATCCGCGAATAGAGGTTTTTCCGCCAAGACTCCCTCTCGGCGTATTGCAAGTCACCAGAGATCAAACAAGAAAGAAGTTCAAGGCGTAAGCAGTTCAACCCAGTTCGTGACAAAAGTAACGATGCAGATTGTAAATGTGTGGCCTTTTTTACATTCCTGTAATTTGAACATACACAATAGTACACCATATCAACCCACACTAACAACAGGTGGTATCAACCCACACTAACAACATGTGGTATGGCCAATTCATCTGGTTCTTGACAACAAATTCCTCGATTATAGCAAGAATCATACAGTTAAGTATCTCGTCAAGGTCTTGAAATTGAGATATGAGCTTATTCAAGCAACTGTAAGCAGAGGTACAAGTAGTAATTTTAAAAGATTTTTGTTTCTTGATATTAGTATTCATACTTTTCTAAAAAAATCTAGAATTTTTCTTTTCCTCATTGCATTACTATTGGTTTATTTGTTTTTTTTTTTTATTTGTTGAAAGAATTAGAGAATATTTATATGCAATGCGTTCTTTTTACGTGTTTGATAGTAATTAATAATATACTTGATAAAAATGTTGTTTTATATTGTTTATTATATTAAAAAGATTTGAATTTATTTCCATGTTCTGATAAAATATTAAGTAACTAATTCATGCATTCACAAAAAATACATTTTACAACCATTATGGTGCTCCCTTTCAAGCAATAATTTAATAATAGTTTAACATACAACCGATTTATTTATTTTTTAATTCACATATTTAATATTGGTAATAGTTGTACAATTACATCTAGTTGAATTTTTTCTTGGTATGAATATTTCAAATCTATGTCAGAAAAATATACCACAAGTTTATCTAATGTTATTTTATAATTAATAGATTTAATTTAACATGGATCTATAATTATTTTATAAGATTCTTTTAGGTCTACTTATTATTTTAAATTGGTATTTATATATATATATATATATATATATTATTTTACATCGATATAAATAATTATATTATTTTTATTTTATTTACAAAACATTGGTAAAATCAAATATCATGGGAAAGAAATGATATGATATATTACATATAAAAGGGTTACAAAAAAAAAAATCAGTATTTCAAAATTAAGAAATTTAATGGTAAAAATTAACTAATTTTTAACTAAAAAATTATGACTAAAATACCGATTTCTAAGACAAAAAATTAAATATATTTTTTATAAATGTGCATCTCAAGTATATTTTACATTTATCGTTCGCTAGCTCCAATTGATATATGACATTTATTAATTTTATCGTTATTTTTTTTTTTACTTTTGAGTGGAACGTCAGTTATAAGCTTTCTCGTTGTGTAGTTTTACCTTTTTATTACGTAGAATATCATTTTTACATCTTGTTTAGTATTAACATTACCTTTTCATTAGAACATCTTTAATTATTATAATACTAATAAAATATTCAAGGACTTTTCAACTTATATGTATTTTTTTAATTACTAATTATCATAAATAAAATAATAATTACATTAAATATGTTATATTTTGTATCATTATCAACAATTTTCAAAACAATTAACTGCACACAATATTATATATAGTGCAAATTTTTTAGTTTGATTTGGAGTCATACTTTTACTACAAAAAAATGATGAAATTTCAATGAAAACATATTACAGCGAAATTTCATCAACAATTCTAACGAATATTTCAACGTTACAATTTTCGTTTAAATTTTTCAATGAAAATTATAACAAAAATATTTTGATGCAATCATGTGCAGATCCATGTTTGTCCAATTGTCCCGAAACTGGCATCATCCCAAAACAAACATAAGATATCTAACAAACATTATGGCACATTTTTCATAATTTTAATCATGTCCTCTATTTAGAAAATAAAATTAAGAGAATAAAGATAAATAATGATTAATTTACAACTCAACCAATCATAATTTAATTCAACTCATAACGTTATTAAAATTATAGCATCAATGCGGTTTCCCAACTAAAGAAAATATGATATTAAAGTTTACAATTTTACGCTCTATTTCTTTCTTTTCTTTTTATTCTTGATGATATCTTATTATCTCTCTTTTAAGACATAATTTTTGTCTAATTTAGAAAATATATTTTAAGTCTTTTTTAAATGTATGTAGAATTTTAGTTATATATTCGTAGTTTATACATTCATCTATTATATTGTCGAGTCAACTATACTACAACATAAAATTTTTGTTCATAAAAAGATGTTAAAAAATGTATTATTTTTTTATGAATTTCTTATGTCGAATTGAGAAAAAATATGCTTTTTTTTTTAATATTATTGAACTTATTGTGATTGTATTGATGTGTTAAAAAAAGTAATACATATGAGAAAGTTGACAAATTATGAAAAGTATACTTTATAAATTATAATGACATTATGTTGTTTTGATGCAATACTTTTTGTATTAATTAGATAGTGCTCTTAACATGAAATTATTTTGGATTCGCCACTGCAGCTAGTTTTTCATTAGAACTTTCATTGTTTTTCCCAATTTCAGTGACAATTTTTTTAATGGTTGAAATATGGCCGAAAAAGAAATCCAACGTAAATTCACACAAAAATAAATATTAATAATTGAGATATTAAATCTTAAATTTACTCACCATTAGAATAGCCAGTGAATCTTTTCAACAGAAGCTATACCAATGAAATATCTGTTGGTATTTTCTGTGGAATACGTAAACAACATCGATTTTAAATATTTTACTAATATTTATTAATAAACTTGTAAAATTAAATAAATATTGTTGAAACATTTATCTTATTTGATAGGATAAATAAACTCTTAAATTTTATTGAGAAAATCACAAAAGTATTTAAGAATCTTGAATAATATCAATAAATAAAATATTTTATTTATAAAATTTTGAATTATAATAGTTCATAGAGCGCTCAACTTGATAATTAATTGTTCAAATAAAATAAGAATAAAAATAATTAAAATGTCACGAACATTTTTATTAATAATTGAATGAAAAATTTCAAATATTTTAAGTCTTAATAATTAAAAAATTACGCAACTTGATTTTAATCACCTAATGGTCACGTAAAGATTCGTTAACTCTATTAGCTTTGCGACCAAAATTTGAAAATACAAACCACTAAACAATGACGATTTTTGTGGGATCAAAATTCAATCCAATAAAACTAAGGTGCAATCTAATTCTAGTTGTAAATACAAGAGTTTATTTTTCTTAAATAATGACCTAGTTAAACGAATTCTTCCATTATTCTAGTTTGTTAGATTATGTACATATTTCACGTGTGCATGATTTCGGTAATGTTTTAGGTATCTTCTCTTAATTAAAGTTATGTATGTATCTTGGAAATTATTTATTATATAAAATTTACCCCTCAACTAAGTTATCATGTTTTACCAAGATTTATCGTTTTGTTAAAAGATAGGTAAACAAATAGTTGAGAATATTTAGATCATTTATAAGTATTTATATGTTGTTTGTTGCATAATTTTTTGTTTAAATAAATTTTATATATTAAAATCATTAAATATGATTACGATTTTATCATCAAAAGTATATTAAAAATAAGTACGTTATTCAAAACAAAAATTCAATATCATTTTAAAACTTTGTTGTTTGGGTTACTGTTGAGTTGATTTTTTAGAGATATGGAAGAAAACAGTTTGGAAGATATGTGGAAGAAACCAAATTCTTGAAGAATAATGGTGTGAATATTGTGGATGATTTTTAAGAGATGTGGAATGTTTTGTTCATTTAATTGTATTAAATGAATAAAATATTAAATGAGTAGTAGTGTATTACTAATCTGACATTAAAAATATGTCAAATAAAGGCCTTTTAGGTAAATATTAGTTATTAATAAAAAAAATTATAAGATGGGATATATAATATATTATTACTAATTTGCCATTTAAAATATACCAAAGTAAGTGTATATTAGTTAGTTCTTTCTTTTACAAAAATACTCGTTCTTTTATAGTAGTATTCTGAGTTACCATTTTAGTTAGCACAACATTTAGACATAGAATATAATAAAACATTTGAATTAAATATTGTATAAGATTATTTTTTAGATATATTGTTTACAAGAACTAATTTGTTTTGGTGGAATTCTGTGGAAGAGTTATTTTTTTTCCAACAGCTACTTAGCTAAGAGATCATAACAATTTCTTCAAAGACCACCTCAATCTCCATCACTTTTAGTAAAATTTAGAATTATTTGAGTCATACTTTGGGCGTGGATCATAATAGTCTTCAATTTTACGCTGTTATTTATTTAATTAAATATTAGTGATTAACTAAAAATATAAGATTTGAAGAGTATTAGTGTATTAATAATTTGACATTAAAATTAAGTCAAAGTAAGGGTTTTTTAGGTAGTTCATTTGTTAATTAAAAATATAAAATAAGATGGGTATTACTGTATTACTAATTTGCCATTAAAAATATGTCAAAGTAAGGGTTTTTTAGGCAGATCATCATTTGTTAATTAAAAATATAAAATAAGACTGGTATTACTGAATTACTAATTTGCCATTAAATATATGTTAAAGTAAGGGTTTTTTTAGACAAATCATTATTTTTACAAAATCACTCCTCCTTTTATAATAGTATAGATAGATAGATAGATATAGATATATATAGAAGTATAGATAGATAGATAGATAGATAGATAGATAGATATAGATTTTCTGCCATCTAAATGACAAAGTTACAATAACACAATATGCATGTACTCGTAAATAAATAACTAAAAGAACTCAGGGGAGAATCAAAAACTGCTTTAATTTGCTTTTATAATTGTGCTCTATTTGATATTACCTTTTTGTCATGTCACATTGTCACTATAATTTATGAACTACAATGAATACATCAACGCAACATGGTCCAATTAGATCAAGAATCAGTAAGCAGATGATAGAGTAGCACAGAAATTAACCAAATTAGGATAAACCAAGCTGCTGTAAAACTCAGCAGGAAAAATATAGAAATGCAAATGAAAATTCTTTAGAAGACTTCATTTAATATATGAATTATTTGCATTGCAAAAGCAACTTCCTGTAATTTATAGCCATCAAAATGACAAATGGTCATATATGAAAAGCGAGAAAAATAATTGAATGGGAAAATTAAGTGAGAAAAAACAACTAATTACGATGGAACCTCAACATTAAAAAGTAATTATTTTAAAACATATACCACCCTTATTGTTTTGTTTTTTTTTTTCTTAAGAAAAACTACGGGTGAAATGTGAAAGTATATATAAGTGAGTACAACATGATAAGGAGTATAAATTATAAGGTTGAAGTTGACCAAGTCCCTCTTACACATTATATGAGAAGTAAAACATTATTAAGTTATGAAGTTATGCTTTATATTTGGATCGAAACTACATGTAGTCCTTGTGCTTCTTCTCTCGGCACAACATCAACTTGTCGTGAACTAATAACTCCGTTGGGATGGTGAACCGTAACTTCATATTCACCATGAAAAAGCGATTTTACGTAAATTCCATTGGCATCTGTACTTCCACTTCCAGGTGAATCTGCCTTGTGAGACAAGTAACTAATGAAATTGTCAACAACGTCCCCAGTTGCCAAGTTATTAAAATTATTGTCTGTTAAACACATCTGGTAGCATCCTCCTGGACTCCTAGCTGACCAAAGCATCATCCCTTCCAAATTGGGATGTGCATGAAGTTCATTTAGAATTTGTTCCAAGAAGCTTGCCTGTCAAGTAACAATATACATTGAGATTTATCAATGAAAACAAAAAGTATGACTTGTTGATACCAAATTCTACTATTATTAAACAACAGAGTAAATTGTAGTTTTAGTCCTTTATGTTTCACTACCCTAACTTTTTCATCTTTTTCGAATTGCGCCTTTTGAATTTCGTCTCGTATGTTTGCAAAAACGTCATTTCCGCAACAAAAAAGTCCTTTATGGTTTGCAGAAAAAGTTTCCAATTTCGTCCCTTATGTATGAAAAAGACCTTTGTGTAACCATTTTGCAAACACACGCGACGAAAACAAAGAACACAATTCGAAGAGGACGAAAAAAGTTAGGAGAGTGAAACATACATGACCAGAACAGCAATTTACTCTTTCTATTACCTGATTGGGTCCAGCTGAAACGTCCAACTCTGTAACCCAAATCGGCAGCTTTGCAGCTGCAACTACATCGATTGCGGCCCTTATATACGGCAAACTCATATAACTGAAATGACCCTCGAGCCCAATAGCCAGAGAACCTTCATAACCAAACTCCCTAAAGTCCTTAATCTTCTTCAGATATTTCCAAGGGGAAGCATTACCATCTCGACTTTCTTCGATTGTGTTGTAGTCGTTTAAAAACAGGGTAGCATCGGGATCGATTTGGCTTGTCATGTTATAGAAAATAACAGAAGCGCTACTTCCCAATTTATCCTCGTAGAAATGCCCATGAATATTTTCGTTCACCACGTCCAATTGGCTATATCGACCTTTATATTTATTGACTACCGATAATACCCTTCCATTTGTGGCCTTCTGTAAGGCGTCCGGGGAAAGGCTTTGTACCCAACTGGGATTACCATTTTGGACATCCCAAAGAATGTTATGGCCACGAACGGTTATGCTGTGGGAGTCGCAGAATTTAAGCAGCGCATCTGACGTGGAGTAGTCCACGTGGCCTTGAGATTGTTCTGTGGAGTACCATTTGAGCTCGTTTTCGAAGACGGAGAGTTTGAATCTTGATGTAAACCATTTTTGGTAGTTTGGGTTAAAGAGTATGTTGTAATTGATGGCACAGCCAAAGGGAAATTTGGAAGATGTTTGCTTCATGGAGACTGTAGCGTTGGGTATGGGTCGCTTTTTTTGGTCCACCACCACAAATTTCACTTTCGATTTTCTCACCTGCAAACAACAATTGTATTTAGCAACACATGCTCCAATATGGATGACATCTTTACAAGGTTTTAGAAACTACATGTAATTTGTTCTTGGGAAAATTAATAAGGTACAACTCAAATCTAGCTCACAAACACACCTTCATAGTTATTATTATTATTGTTATTATTATCACATTAGTCCACCCTATCTCATTAATAATAATATATTTTCTTGTACTTTTTTTATTAATTAAGAAAAAAAAAGGTTATATTTTATATTAACTGAGTAATAATTATATTTTTTATTGTATCATAGAATACTTATTAGTAAATTAGTAATTAAATTTTACACTAAATGATAAATGAAAGTTATATAAACATAAAAAATTATATTGTAAATTTCTTTGTTCAAGTTAATTATTCTAAAATCAATATTTTATTTTTTATCCGATTAAGCAGCTGTTTTTAATTAAATTAATTTATTTAATGTCATAGTAAAATTTTTCAAAATCACATGAGATTTTTTTATAATAAATTTAATATTTTTCAGCTAATTAATTGGTCATGATCCCTCAAAATTATAAAAAATACATTATTTATGACATTTTATGCAATAAATATATTGATTCAAATGTAATCAAATCGTTATGTACTATTTATTTTAACCAATGATCAAATTTAAGACATAATACCATTTATCTAACTTATAATTTTAAAATTATATGCATAAATATAACATATAATACTCTATGTTTAATATATAATATCATTATCTAACTTATATATTTTTTTTAATATTATATACATACAAATTACTTATAATACTTTATTACATCTGTGCATTTGCACAACATTGAATGCTAGTTCTTATAAATTCTCATAACTCGATATTACTCTAATAACATTGTTGAGTCCTTTAGATAATTAAAAAAACAACAATTAGTTAGCTACAAGAGTGCTAAAAAGTACAAATAATTGTTTGTTTTTTTTTTTTTTACTTTTTTCGTTCAAACCTAATTAAAAGAAGGGTTATATTTACTTCCACAGTATTGTTTTTTAATTTTTATTATTACTTTTATTTTATTAATGAGTATTAAGCTATTATTTTACTTTTAATGAGTACTAAGTCATAGAAGGATTTATTATTCAGCATAGGTCTAGGCCCATATTTAAATATCAATAAGAACAATGGTCTATTTCCCTATTATCTCCATTTTTTGTCGTTTTTGTGGTCCCATAGTATTGTTTCTTAATTTTTATTATTATTTTTATCTTATTAATGGGTATTACGCTATTATTTTACTTTTAATGACTACTAAGTCATAGAAGGATTTATTATTCAGCATAGGTCTGGGCCCATATTTATATATCAATAAGAATTATGGTCTATTTCCCTATTATCTCCATTTTTGTCGATTTGGGGTCCATAGGTCTTGTTTATTAATTTTTATTATTAATTTTATTTTATTAATGAGTATTAAGCTATTAGTTTACTTTTAATGAGTACTAAGTCATAGAAGGATTTATCTCATCATGCGCCTAGACCTATATTTGTCTCTATTTGGATACGTTGGTGACAAATGAATCTCAAACAATAACATGATTGGTATGATAGAATGCAATTTCGTAAGAATGAAATGAATTGAATAATGAAATGATTATGATAATGAAATAAAATATGTTTTGTCATTGATGCGTTTGGTATGCAGAAGAAATATGACTTGAATGGAATGATATTATCATTTTTTATTATAAAAATAAATAAACGCTTTTTTTAAAAAATAATATACTTTTAATAAATTATATATAAATGCTTTTTTAATAATATATAAAAATAAAATAATATATTTTTAATAATATATTTTGAATAATATATACAAATAGAATAATATATTGTTTAATAATATTAAATAATATATTTTTAATAATATATAAAAATAAAATAATATATTTTATTTTTTAATTAAACAATAAATAAAAGTATGTTTCAATTTTTTATTGGAATTTCATTTTTTAAAATAATATATTTTTAATAATATTTAAGAATAAATTAATATATTTTTAATAATATATATTTTTAATAATTTTCAATAATATATTTTTAAAAGTAATTTATTTTTAATATATAAAAATAATATATTTTTAATAATACATAAAAATAAAATAATATATTTTTAAAATATATGTATATATATATATATATATATATATGCTTTTTTTAGTTTTATTTTTATATAATATATCTAATTAAAAAATAAATAAAAGTAAGTTTTCAATTTTTTTATTTGAACTTTTTTTTAAAATAATTTTATTTAATATATTTTAATCATGATTTATAATATATATTATATATTTATTTTTTATTATTATTTGATAATTTTATTTTTTGAAAAATTGATTCCTACACACTTGGGAATGAGAAAATCTTCCATTTACTATAGAATGGCTAATCCCATGGAGATGGGTTTTGCCATTCTCATTAGAATGGTCATTCCTTCCCAAAAAATATACCAATCATGAGATTAGGAATGAGCAAGATTTTGAGTTCATATTTAAATAAAATTTTAAATAAAGTTGATTCGGTTGATGATTGAGCAAGATTTTGAGTTCATATTTAAATAAAATTTTAAATATAATAATTAAAGTTAATTTGATATAAAAAACGGAGAGAATTTATTAGAAATAATAGGTAGTTAAAATACGCGAGTCGATAAATAAGTGAATTACAATTGATGTGATGTGTGAGGATGGTTGATTGTTATTAATTAATTAGCTTCATACTATTAAAGAGGGTTTGGTTGAATTAAAGTTTGAATTACAAATCGTAAAAAATTATCAGAGCAATTAAAAAACTGAATAATTTATATAGTTAATCACACCGTAATGGTAAAGTTCCTTTAAGGTAATATACACGACAAGAAAGTGTATCACATGGGAAACACGAGCTAAGTAGATGCGATCTACTAAGGCTATGTTTGGTAGACAAATAAGCTAGCTTATAGCTTATTTGGTTAGCTTATAAGCTTCTTGTGTTCAAATAAGCCTCATTTGATAGGACGAACTTTTTTTAAAATGTTCGAGCTTATCTCATAAGCTTCTTTAAGTAGCTTTTCAAATAAACTAGTTGAATTTTTATTTCAGCTAGCTTATCAGCTAATTTTACCAAACACTTATATAGTATAAGCTAGATTTTTAGTTATAAGTCATAAGTCATAAACAATAAGCTCGAAAATTACATATAAGCTATAAGCTAGCTTATCAACTATCTTTTAAATTCCCATTGCTAGAGACCATTACATTTGGGTTAAGGATTTGATGCAGGCCGATAGTAACATGTGGAATGAGTGGCTTGTTAGACATGTTTTTGATGCAGATGATTGGGGGTTGGAAAGGAAGGGCAACTTCTCTGTGTCCAACACTTATAAGTATCTGTCCAATCTTAAACTCTTGCAAGGAGACATCCCAGAAAGTAGCAATGCATCCTCTATAAAAAGGAGAGTTAAATTCAAATACTGGAAACTTAAAATTGCTGGCAAAATCAAGTTCTTTTTGTGGAAGTGTTTATCCCATACTCTCTCTGTAGCTGTGCAACTCATTAAAAAAGGAGTGGAGCTTGATACTGTTTGTTCTGTTTGTGGAGAGAATCAGGAAACTATTGAGCATATTCTTCTTAACTGCCCAAGAGCAAAGAGGTGCTGAGAGCTTAGTCCTGTACAATAGGATGGACTCAGAAACAGGACAGGCTCCTTTTCAGACTGGTGGTTTCAAGTTTGTTCTCTAGACAATTCTGAAGTGGTTGAAGGTCGCATTCAAATCTCTACTTATATGCTTTGGTGACTTTGGAAGTCCAGGAATCTTTGGATTTTTCAAAGGATTTGGATACCTGAACATGTGATACTGAAGCTGGCTCAATCTGACTGGATTGAGTACTCCTTAGCTGCTGTTAGCATTTGATTTCCTTTTCTTGTTTTTCTGTTCCAGTTTAGGTTTGGCGGGGTTTGATTTGAGGAAGTTTTCTCCTGGCTAGGCTTTTTTAGCAGTGGTGGGGTTGGTTTTCTTGGATCTTGTTTAGTTTTTTAGTTTTCTGAGTTTTAGTTTTATGTGGGGGTTGTTGGTGTTAGTTGAGGTTTTAGACCACCTTTGGTGCGTCTCTCAGTTTTAATTTCCAGTGTATTGTGTGTCTTGTATTCGAACGGTGTTCGCCGGTTTTTATTAATATAGTTACTCTGTCGTTTTGGGGAAAAAAAAAACTATCTCTTAAGTAACTATTTTAAACATATAACTATCTTTTAAATATATGATAAAAATTTACCAAAATAACTATTTTTTATGGAATCAGATTGTAGTCAAATCGAATTTCTGAGTCAAAAGTTTAAAATTACAATTATTTTTAATATAATATAATTTATGATCAGTAATGTGCACTGTACGAGCTGTGTATGAATTTTAAATAGATATGTTTTATGTAATTTTGCATAATTTAAATATAATATAATATTTTCAATAAATTAATATATGTACATTGTATTACATATCGTTTTCATATTTTTAATTTATAAATGTTATTTAATGAGCATTTTTAATTTATAAATATGGATGAATATCTCTTACCCGTGCATCGCACGAGATTCATACCAGTATATTGAAAGGAAATTTATAGAATAATAGTTTGACTTACTTATAAAGGAAATTTATAGAATAATATTTAAAATTGTCTTTCATTTTGAAAATTGTAAGCCTAAAATAATCCTAATTTTTTAACTTCTTATCGTGCACTTTAATTTTCAAAATAATTGGCCAAAATATTGTCCATTTTTCTAAAACAATTTATGAGTCCTATTTTCTTGGAAATATTTACATTTCAAAATTGTAGGCCAAAATACTATCCACTTTTTTGGAACAATTTATCTGTTCTATTTGCTTAGAAATATTTAATAAGTATGTTTAAAAATAAAAATATTTGATAAAATGGACGATAATAATTTTTGGTATTACATTTTCCTCTATAATTCTCAAAATTTAAAATTGCTCATTTATATCAATTTCCCAAATAAAAAACTTGCAGTTTTTTAATATTCTATACATGAAATCATCATGATGTTTAAAGTTCATGTTTCTCATTAGAAAAATAAAATAATGATAGAAAATAATTTAATTAAGCGTTATGTGATGATAAATGCTAATCTTTCACAGAGAAAATTTTGATATAAGTAGATGTGATGAAAATAAATTAATGATAGAAAATAAATTAATTAAGAATTAAATAATAATAAATATTAATTTTTAACATTGAAAATGGTGATACAAGGGAATATATGCGAAAAGTATTCATGGTACAAAAAAAAATATATTTTGTTGTTGTATAGAGCTGTACAACCAAACTATAAAACAATTAGAAATATTTAATGCACTTTTTATGCAACTTTTTTGTATAATAAAAAATATTTATCGCACCTATTACTTATATTTTTTTATTTATTTGTAGCATGAATGTTACTTTAAATTATTATACAACGTTTGATAAATTTTAATACATATCATTCAAGAATAGCATGTAAGTTGTAAATACTTTTAAACGTGTTAATTAAGTTGTAGTAAAATACTTTATTATAAACAAGTTTATTTGACTTTACAAATATATCTAGACAAAGGTTAAGAAATTTACTTAAAAAAGTAAGTGACAGTTTTTTTTTAAATTATTTTTATTCAAATACTTTTTAAAAAGTTTTAGTAAATGAATAAATATATTACCATTGTTTCCTAATAATATATTAATTTATTTTAAGTAAATCATAATATATGTAGACGTTGTACTACTATTGTAAACACACTCTCATTGATCATTTCTTTTGGTTTGTTTCATTTAATTAAAATAATATAAATTTTAATTACCCTCTTATTTAAATAATCTTTAAATTTAATTTTAAATTATATAATACAACTTCCAATTATCATTTAATATAAATAATATTTAAAATTACTGTCAGTATATTCATAAAATTATTTTTATTATATTTTCTTGCATCGTAATCATTATTAAATTATTTTTAATATTGGTATCTCGTGCATCGCACCGGTGGATACTAGTAGTTACAAAAATGAGACCCTTTAGTAAACGGTAAAACTACAAGAAAATCATGAAATTTCAATAGAAAATTTCAACGGAAATATATTTAAATGGAATTTCGACGGAAATTCCAGTGGATATTTCAATACTATTATTTCCGTTTGAATTTTTTAATTGATTCCAATGGAAATTCCAACAAAGCTATTCCGTTGGAATGTTCTTTGGATTTTGACGATTCTGGGATGAAAACATAAATTTCAACGTAAATTCATACGGTAAAAAATCATTGAAAAAATAGTCGTTAGAATCATCAAATTCCATCTAAAATTCCAATGAAAAACTCATTCCAACTGAATAATTTCGTTGGAATTTTTGTCGGAGTCATTCCAACGGTAACTATACCATTAAAATATCAATTGAAATTTCCGTTTAAATATATATTACCGTAAGATTTTTCGTTAGAATATAATTATTTTTTTGTAGTGTCAAAACAATTTTGGAACTAATTTCCAACAAAGTAAAATACATTCCCCCTCTCTATTAGTTGATGTTATCATTCACAATTTCCTAATTAGAAGATATTGATCAATTGTCGTGCATTTGGAAAATCTAGTAACATCTTAAAAGTATATTTATAATTCAAAAGCTTGTATCATTAAGCTATACTACATTACTGTGGTTGTTTTCTGCTAGTTAATTTTTATCATACCTTGTTCACGCTTTGTTCTTGGTGGGATTTCCACTCTTCCTGAGTAAATGGTTGCAGTGAGATGCTATCGACCCATATTTCAACTGCTGAGTTTTGACTCTACAATAAANAAAAAAAAAAAAAGATGGAAGATTAAACTAAAGAAAGTATTTCGTGGACATAAAATTGTGCACAAGAAAATAAAATTAAAAAATATTTTACTACAGAGAAATGTGTTATGACTTTTGGACTTTATTACGAGACAAAAGTGATTGTAGAAATACTTTTAAGTGAATTTATTCGTAAAAAAAATGATAATGGTTTGTTTAATGTTTTACTACAAAAGGCGACAATAGTTGTTAGTGTTGGACTAAGATGCGCAAATGTGGAAGGTGTAAATTAAAACATTAATGTGAAATTGTGAATAATAATAATAATCTCAGCAATTCAAGAATGACAAAAGAAATTTGTTGCAATAAAACAGGAATAATTATTTTCTGATGTGGAAGATCAGATTAAACTGCGACCACAGAGCATACTAAGAATATTCCAAATAAATAAAATATGCAAGAAAAATGACACTAAGATTTAACGTGGAAAACCTCCAATGTAGAGGAAAAAACCACAAGACAACTTCCGAACAATTTCACTATATTTTCAAGATAATTAAAATATCTTTTCACACTCTCCTACACTAGAAATGTAAAATATAGTGACCCAGTGAGATCTCACTCCTATTCAAATATTACAAATAAGGAGTAATAGAGATGATACCCGACCCGGTGTATTTTTCCCACACTCACACGATTTACTCAAACACTCTATTTTTCTCTCACTGAAAAATACTTACACACAAGAATTCTTATATTTTCTTCTTGTTGTTTTTCTTTCTCTGCTTTGCTTGGTGCATCTTCTTCATCCTTGTAGGCTAGGGATTATGTGATTTTGTTGTTGATTGCGTGAGCGAGAATTGATTGAGAGCTCGATTAGTTGATTCGCTAGAGGCGATTGCTTGATTACATATTCCCGAACTTATGAGTACATTCTTTCCACATCGAGTCTTAGGGTGCTAAGTTCTTTTTCTCTCTTTTTCCCCTTTTATTGCAATTATAGGGCTTGCTTGCGATAAAGTTCAAATCTTGCTAGTTAAAGTTTGCTTCTTGCTTTCATTGTAGTTCAAAGTTGTGATCTTTAGTTCAATTCAAACCGCAAATTTCGAGTAGAGTATTTAGGATCATTATTTTCCCCTTTGTGTGAATCAATCATTGTCCGAATTCGTGTCCGAACAACTTCGTTCAAGAGACAACACGATGTTGGTATTTAAGATCGTACTCGACTAAAAATAACTTAACAAATGTCGTCGTTGCCAGGGAAGGCGAGTAGGCCATTTAATTTAGACAATTGATTGACTTATTTTCCGTATTTCGCTTGCTTTTTGTAAAATTTCTTAATCTTATGTGTTTCTCTTGATTATTTTCTTTTTTCTATTTCTCTTACTTTTTGGTGTTTGGGATTTGTGAATATTGTGTTGTGTTATTCACGTTTTTGTGCTTTTCTCGTATTTTTTGCTTTTTTCTTGTCTTGGTCTTGTGTGCCTTGGTTAGTTTTGTTGTTCTTGTGCAAGGTATTCGCTTGAGAAGCTCCGATGGACCCATTTGGCTGTTCTTATGTCAGAAGCTCGTCTCGTGGATACCTTGACAATTACCAAGAGGAGATGTACCCGCAATAGGAGAGTCACCACGTTCGTATCCGAGCTATTCAAATTCTTATTCTTATGACTGATACTCTAGATCCCATGGGTATGGCTTGAGCCATTCTTACACGGCATCTCTAGCTGAATATGGTTATAACATTCCAGGTCACAACGAGACGTCTTACTACAAACGTCCATCTCCGGACTACTACGATCCTTTGCCACCCAATTATTATGATGCGCCACCTCCATCCGAGCTGACTCGAGAATCTTCTCCAAGCTGTTTAGATGAGATTATGGATAAATTGGAGAAGTGCAATCAATCTCTTCGTGCTTCAATGGCTTCCGTGTCCGAAAAAGAATAACCCGAGTCCTATGCTCCATCCTCTTCTACATACGAGCACCAATCGGTTAGGCAACCTAGTACATCGAGGGTCGAAGCTTCATTTTCCCCAAAGGTTGTTCCTTCTGAGAGTTACCGAGAGTTTTTGGCAAGCACACAAGAGGTGCTTGCGAGGCTCATGTCGATCGTCGGGAAGTTTCATAATTGGAGTTGTATACCCATTTCATCCGTTCTTCAAGCGACACTCACGAAATTCGACTCTACTGTGGTTGCTTTTTTTTGTTGAAAATTACAGTTTTAAGTCTTAATTTGTTTTAATAATGATTATTGAATTTGGTACTAGTTAATTTACGATAAATGAGATGCACAAATTGTATGATATATTTTAAAATTTTATTAGGTTGTAAATAAATGGAAGAAAATGTTGATTTTCACTTAATTTAATATCAAATTTTGTTTCATTATGCTTAAAATTGAAAGATTTTTTATGAATATGTTGTTTGTATAAATATATAGAATTATGGGTTATCAAAATAAAATTATTAAATATAAAAAATATTAAATATTATTTCTAGAAAAAATTAGTCTAACAAAAAAGATTGATTTTTTTTTTTTTTTAATTTCGTATTATTCCATAGTGTTTGGAAGGATATATAAAACTTATTAGATTATAATAATTTTCAAGAGTTGTATCTCGTTTGTTTCTTTTTTCTAAAAAAAAAATGCATCATATCTTTTTGTTTGCTTTATTTAATTAAAATAATATAGTTTTCAATTATTCTTTATTTTAAATAATATTTAAGTTTGACTTATTTAACTTTAATAATATAATTTTTAGTTATCATTTAATTTAAATATTAATTAAAATCACTACCAATAATTATGATGTAATGACGTTAAATTTTTAAAACAAATAAATACTACTAATTTAGAAATTCTATCAGTTGACTTTTCCTCCCAAAAAAATTTATCTATGCACCCAAATAAAGATTCACAACATAAATTTAATTTTTTTTATATAAAAATTCTTCATTGTGTGACTAATCACAAAATAATAATAATAAAAGAAATCAGTAAACCATATTCATGTTACCCAATATTAAATTTATAAAATTATTTTTAATGTTAACGCACCATTTAGTTTTATAAAAATATATTTAATATTTATTTCTCTGATCATAACTATAATAAAATTATTTTTAGTATTATTATCTCGTGCATGGCATGGGTGCGTACTAGTTGTAATTTATAATATTACATTTGCGTGTAAAAGTATGTACTCTTGTAGAAAAAGTATAATTATTTAACAATTAGACAACCTGAATAAAGACCTATTGTTTTCTTTGGGGTTCATAATTAAGTGTTGATTTTTTTAGACTAGCATTAATTGATGCCCTATTTCATTACTTTATATCATTGTTCTAAAAATCGGCCTAGGCGGCCACCTAGGCGCTAGGCGTTGCCCTGCCGCCTCCGATTTGCACAAATCGGTAGGCCTGGGACCGGTCCGGTTTTTAACGAATTTTTCAGGAACCGGAACCGGAACCGAACCGAAATAACCGGTTCGGTTATTACACATATATTCATAGGAACCGAAAAAAAACCGAACCGTGTTATACCGGTTCGGTTCTTCCGGTTCTTTGGATAACCGGCTTATGAAAAAAAACCCGGTAATAACCGGTTTTGAGTTAATAACCGACCAAAAAATTGCAACTTATGTACTAAATGTATCATAAAAAACCGAGAACCGAAAAGAAAAATGAGGAACCGATAATATACACCAAGAACCGGAACCGATTTATATATGTAAACATAGAAAACATGTATTTTTCATGTATATAGTCGGTTTTTCGGTTAATACACAAACATTTGGAAAGGAACCGAGAACCGGAACCGGTTTGTACAAAAAATAACCGGAACCGAAAAAAAGTTTTTTTTTTTAAATAACCGAACCGAACCGGTTATTTTCGGTTCGGTCCGGTTCGGTTCTCCGGTTCTCGGGTATAAAATCCCACCCCTACAAATCGGCCGAAAAAATCGGCCAGGCGGCTAGGCGGCCCTAGGCGCTCCTAGGCGGACTTGGCGGCCAGGCGGTTAGGCGGCGCCTAGGCGGACCTAGGCGAGCTCGACGATAATTTTTTATTTTTTTTTAATTTTTTAAAACATTATATACATTATTTTGTTCGCGTGTTTTCTTTAATATATATTAATATTATTATTTGGACTTAGGTGTGTGGATTTTTTTATAAATTGAGATAATTTTATTTTGTAGGTAATTAAAATAAATAAAAATAAAGTATTTAATATTGATTCCCCGACTAGGGCGCTAGGCGCTGATCGAGCGCCTAGCGGGATCTAGCGACTTTTAGAATATTGCTTTATATGGATTAAATGTTGCGTTTTATTATTGGTCAACTCACCTAGGTTTATGTGTTCTGAAATCTCGTATTAAGACCCGGAACTATGCATATTTATATATATCTATATCTTTAAATATATTATTGTCAGCAAAGAATTTAATAATACTCCTTTTATTTTCCTGCTTTTTTTTGCTACTTTTGCATTAATCAAATAATTATAATTTTTATTTATTTTACCATATAATTGCTACTATTAACTAATAATAAAGTCACATTAGAGGTTATTCTATTTTAAATCTTTTTTTACGTCATTAAGAAAGTTTTTTTTTTTAAAAAATAAAAAATTAGTTAACTATAATTTATGGCATAACCAGACCCTTTAAAATTTTGTACACAATATCTATAGTAATAACTTTAAAATTGTTCAATCCAGTTAATTGGTCATAATAAACCAACATTGCATAAATTTAAAGATTAAATGTCAGATAAAAGTTTATATTTAAATTATTTATTTTTACTAATGATAAAATTTATAAACGTGATATTCTCATTATCTAACTTATGATTTTTAAACTTTACATTAAAATACATATATATAATGTATAAAATTTTATTTGCATTTGTGCATGTGCACAGGATTGAATGCTAGTATATATAATTGCAGACAACACATCTAATAAAATCTTTTGGTTTTCCTCTATTTTTTTTAACATTTTGTATTTATTACATAATTATATTTTTTATTTTTTTATTACATGATAGCTACTATTAAATGATCATAAAGTTACATTAATAATATTTTATTTTTTTGAACTATTAATCTAATTTTCTTTTCATCTCACTAAACAAGTTTTTAATTAAAATTATTTAATTTTTTATCGCATAACCAAACCCCTTAAAATTTTGTACACAATTTCTTCAATAATAGTTTCAATATTATACTATCTAATTACATAATCATAATTAGCCAAGATTGCAAAATTTACATTATTCCAATCAATATAAATAATAATATGTAAGTTAAATAGTTTATATTCATATCCTTAATCTTTACTAATGATAAAATGTGGTATGTTTATTATCTAACTTATGATTTTTTTTCATGTAAATTTTTAACGTTCAATCCTTACATATCAGTTACATATGCACTAATTTGTTGACATTTAATTAGTCATTTCTAGGAATATAGGCATCGAATCAAGAAGTATTTATATCGATTTTAGTCATTAGTTTAAACAAATTAAAAAAAAAATTAAAACATAGTTGGAAATAAAATTTACAAATAAATAGATAAAAATACAGTACATAACATAAAAAATAATATTCATAATGATAATATTTTTTTAACAAATTTCGTTAGAGTAAAAACCCTATATATATATACTAGTGTGTAGCCCGTGCGATGCACGGGAAAACAATATTATGATTGTATTATAAATTAAATATATAAATAACATTAATCATGATTTATCCATTGTTTTTAAATTAAACCGAGTTGGACACAGTCCTACTGGATGGATCGAGAATCGGTTTATAATCAGTCTAGTTCGCTTGAATAAAATATTTGCTCTCCAATCCGTCAACACAAGTCGGTTGGACTGGTAGGATCGATACGATTTTCTAAATAAATTTTGTTATATTTAAAATTATTTTAAATAAAATTACATATTTGAATAAAATAGAGATTTATAAATTATTTATCAATTAGTTTAAACATTTGAATTTATAACTTATTTAGATATCTAAGTAACACATTTTATTTAAATTTATTTACAAAAAGTACTTAAAATCTGAACAAACCACAAATGAGTTAATAAAATAGCTTGATCGTTTCGATGACGGTCCAGTTTTGAACACCTTATATATACTATACATTAATAAATATTATAATAAAATATTATATAATTCACATAAATATTAATAAAATGATATATAAATATTCATAAATCATTAAAGATGTTGTCATAAAAGTATTGTTAATACGATTATTTGAAGTTTGGACTATATCACATTCACATAATAAAATATTTTCAATATAAAATTTATATTTAGGTTCAATAATCAATTTGGTGTGGTCGAACTGATACATAACTTAGTCCCCTGGAACCAACTAAGTTGTGCTAAATTTTTTGACTATTTTAAATATCACATAAAAGTAATTCAATCAACTTGGGCAGTACCCTAATTCAATCACCCGATTGATCCGAAGAAAATTTCTTATTTTATTTAAATATATTTAATTTTATGAAATAAAAATATTTTATGATTCATATGATAAATGTCTACACCAATTGATAGTATATTAAGATTATAAAGTATACATCTATAGATGAATTAATTATTTTTACTTTATGCATATTAATAAAAAATAAACACAATAATTTTCAAAAAATTAAGAGTAATTGATTGATTATGCAATTAAAGAATATTTTTTGTGATCAATATTTTTTTAAAGTCGCAAATATAAAGACCGAGATTCTAAAACTTTTGTTATATTTTAGCCAGATTTTTTAAATAATAAAATAACTTAAAGCCCGAAATTTAATGTAGCATTTAATGTTGTATAATTTTTAAAGAAAAAAAATAAGAAATTAATAAAACTTACTATTTATAGGCTGCATTAAATTCTGACCTATTATTTTGCTACTATTTTTGGTAAATGATAATTCTTATTATATATATATAGATAAATGGAATATCCCATTAATGAAAATAAAAAGCATTCGTGCTCATTTTTTTCAGTTGATTACATAAAGTAACAGACAAAGTTTATATCAATTAAGTGCAATTATATTTTTTAACTAATCTATTATATAATAATGTTACTCATACTAACTAATTATAAATATTAAAAAGTTACTTACTTATTAAGGATTATATTGCAAAAATTTTTCTTCAAGCTATTTATTCTAAAACTAATATTATATTTTTTTCATCTCATTAAGAGATTTTTCTTCAATTATCTAATTAACTTTAAAGGCATAACCAAAACCCCTTAAAGTTATATAAACAATTGTTGCTAAATAATAATAACTAGTACGACACCCGTGTACTATACGGGTTGTTTGAAAAAAAAATATAAAACATAAAATAATAGAAAAAACACATGTTGTCTTATAAAAGTATAAAAATAGAAAAATACTAAATTCGATATTATTTCAAATTTTTGAAAAATTTCTTTGTACACAACATTAATAGTTTTATTTACAATTTTTTCGATTAAAATAATTTAATTTTATATAAAACATTACTTTGGGCTTTAATTAAATTATCAAATTATATTTTTTTAATCATAATAATTAAACACCCATACATTAAATGAAAATGTCAACCCATATTGTTTTTTTTTTTTTTACTTATATCATGTTAAAATATCGATATTGTTTACTATTACATAAGTACAAAAATATATATCTTAAATAAATAGAAATAATATGGTGATATGTATATGCATAAGTGTAGAATATGTTTATTTAATATTAAGCAAAATAGATTAATTTTTTTACTTAATTAGATGCCTAATACATCAAGTGTCATATGAGTCGTACTTCACAGTTTTTTAACTTTATATGTAATTTTAGAATTTAGATAAATAATTATTTATTTTTATTAGATTGACAAAATACCAAGATTTGAAATAAATATAATTTTAAAAAAATACATACCAATTTCTATTACTTTATAATATAATTTATAGTTTTATTTGATATAATTTAATTTAGTTTGATAAATAAATTTAAATTTTATTTATAAGAATTTATATTACTGTTTGGTACTTTTATATATATAATATGGATGTCAAATCGAAAATCGTTAAAAGATAGTTAATTTGATATATCATATATGAAAAATAAAATACAAAAAAAATTATAAATCTTAAAATAAGAAGAAGAAACATTTATAAAAACTAATGAATGAATTATATAATAAAATGAAAAGCCCAAATTAGATTTGAGGGCCCAAATAAATGACTCACGTCTGAGTCTAGGTGATGAACAAATTGATTGGAATAAATTAATTGAGAAATAATTTTGGGACTTGGAATTAATTTGGCAGCCAAGTAGTTTATTTGAGAGAGTTGTGACATAATAAGAGTGTGAGAATTATTTTTGCACAAGGAGAGAAAAAGAGAGAAAAAAATGTTATATATTAATTTATATCCAAGCCTAACTATAAAGCATAGTTTTTTACAAAATAGGATTTTGAAGCATAAGAGTTTGCCACGTAGGCTCAGCACATTCTGAAATTAAAATTATATAATAATAATAATAATAATAATAATAATAATAATAATAATAATAATAATAATATTTAGCTAATTAATTGGGCGCAATCTCTTATTATTTTATTTATCACAATTCATGTGATAAATGTAGTGTTTCATATTTAGTTTATACAATTTATATTTGTAGAGTTTGTTTTTACTAATTGCCAACATTTGAAAATATGATGATATACTCAATATCTAACTTATAAATTTAAAATTTATATACATGAATTTAATGTATAATATTTTATTTATATCTGTGCATGTGCACGTGATCAACTATTGTAAGGGTCCGGTTATTAATGTATGCCATACGTTGATATAGTTGCTTATTCATTACTAATTTATTGTTGGACTGCTTGGATGCTTATTCGGTTAATCCAGAGCCCTATCATTTGTGTACTCGTATCTTAAGCTTAGTGATTTTCATGACTAAGCTAATTTAATTTGTCTTGTTTTGTCTCTAGCTTTAGCAGTTCATCATTCATGGTTGGAGTGTATGTTTACCTACTGATCGGTTATGCGATTTATAAAATTGCAATGGTTGTCAACCCTGAGCCCATCCCAAAAGAACTAAACATATATGCATTTGCCTAAAGTTTTAAGAATTTTGTGAAACCACTGAAACGGCATTGATTTTATATTTACATAAATTTGAAATTAAATAACTTAAAAACGAGGAAATAGCGAACCTCAAAATATAGCTGAGCGATGCCCGAAACATCAGAAAAACCACCCTTCAACATTGACCAGCAACCTTTTTGGGCCGTAACCCAGCCCGTAGTTATATAACCCATATTCGTCTTCATTATCGCTGCCACGTCAGCAGATCCATCGCTCACTTGTAACCACGCTGCAACAAACTCAATAAAGGAAATTAGTCAATATATATAGAGATAGATCATATGAGAAACAGAGATAGTGAAAGAAATAAGAATGAATCATAGTCATTGGATGTGATATATCAACGCACTAGACACGGTCAAAGGGTCAAGATATAGTCAAACACGCAGTAACATTTATGTAAATAAGTGGACTTTTGATTTTTCACGTGACGGTATTTTAGTCATTGCGCAAATACACTGTTTGCGATAAAGTGCAATATCACATGCACTAAAGTGAAGTTTGTATAACAATATGGTGCAATCTGTGTAGTGATATTTTTAATGTGCAATTATGAACACGATATGGTGCAACGAACTGAACATTAGTGGGCAATTATCAACTTTTATTAGTTTACAAATTTAACCTATGAACTAAATTATAATATAGTTAAAATTTATTTATTTGCAAATAAGTCCCTTGATTCTATATTTACAAAAAAATAGTCCAATCCCTAATTTCAGAACAATTTCCAAATCCCTAATCCATGTGCTGCTTGTTTCCATTCTCCAGTCTAGGCGGACGGCGCTGACGTCGGGATGGGTGGAGATGGCGGCAGGGAGGATAGTCGCCTCGTTGGACATCATCAAGCGAGATTTGGAAAGAGGCGGCAACAAGAGTATTCAACAGCGAATTTAGACGGGGCGACTGAGGAGGACGATAACGGTAGCGGCGACGGGATTTGGACGGCGGCCATGAGTGGCACCGACGAGGAGTGATCACGCCGCCATGTCAAACGACGCGATGGTCGTCGGACTCCTGGTGAGGCTCCACCACTCGACGCCGCCTTTGCTCGAGCGAGCCCGAATGATAATGGAGACGGCGGGACTAGCGCGGCGGATGAGAAACACGGGCGGTGTTTCCTCAACGACCTGGTGTTTATTGTACTTTTGTGCTTATTTTTGTGTGTTTTATGTGCTTTAATTTAGTCTTTTTAGGTTCGTTTTAGTGTCGACCGGTCCATTTTAGCGTATTTCGTGTGTTTTATGTCTTTCTCTTTGTTTTATATTTTTGGCGTACTTTTCCGTGCTCTTGGGTGTATTTTCAGGATTATTCTGAGGATAATGAGAAAAGTTGAACCGAGTCCCAAGAGACGAGCATTTTTCAAGAAATTTCGAGCCATTTCATACGAGCTATTTCTATTCCGACAATTTCGAGCTATGCCGATCAAAAGTCCCAAAAGTAGCCGCACTCGCGAGTTCGAGCCGCAGCCCGCGCCTCGCGGAAGACCGTTGCCCCAAGCCGACACACTCGCGACCACGCGAGACGATCCGCGCCCTCGGGAATGCCGTCAGCCATGCTCGCGAACACGCAGCAGCCACCGCGATGTCGAGAGTGAGTACTTCTCCGCGCTCGCGCCCTCGGACAAATCCACGAGCTCGAGAGTGTGTCGACCTGCTGCCCGCGCTCGCGAATCTCCGTGCGACATCGAGAGTGTTTTCCCACCTGCCCGTCTGCGCCCGCGAGAACTCCCGCGACTTCGGGAGTGTCCCTTTTCCTTGCACCACACCGAGCCTTCCTCTTGCGACCCCGCGCCATCAGTGCTCTGCGACCTGCGGATTTCCCGGCAAGCTCGGGAGTGTTTCATTTAATGTGCGTGAATCTAGTGTGTGTGTTTTGAGCTAGACTATAAATAAATTTTGGTCCTTTGTATTTTGATGATCTAGATTTCATTTGTCACAACCGGAACCCGAACCCGAACCAATGGCGGGACAAGGAGATCAATTGCCACAACTACCCCCAAACATGAGGTACTTTGCACGACTGATTAGTGGAGACAACACTTCGTGCCTTGTGCTCGGTAAGGCGGCCTGAAACTATGACCTCAAGAGAATCCACCTCAACCAACTTTCTTCCTTCTATGGCCTCGCACAAGAGGATGTGCTCAACTTTATCCGAGACTTCTACTCCACGGTCAACACCTTTCCTCTCCAAGGCCTAACCGAAAATCAACTTTGCATGAGATGCTTTCCTTATACCTTGAAGGATTGAGCCAAGACTTGGTTCATGACATTGCTTCCAAACTCGCTCAACACGTGGGAAGCCGTCTACGAGAAGTTCATGGGCAAGTATTATTCGAACTAAAAGACAACCGATCTCCGAGCACAAATGGCTAGCTTTAGCCAAAACCCGGGCGAGACCTTTCACGAAGCATGAGAGCAGTACAAGGGCTATCAACTCCAATTCCCACACCATCATTTTTGCTTGGGCATGTTGAATCAATTCTTCTATGATGGGCTCTACCAAACCCTCCAATACATGGTGGACCATGCGACCGGAGGAGATATCGGGAGTCACACAGCAGAAGAGATCTATGAGTTGTATGAAATGTTGAGCGAAAAATCCCAATGGAAAAGTGTACCCAAGAAGGCTCTCGTAAATGAAGCTACACAATCGTCCAGTTCGTCTAATGAGGCCGTTTTGGCTAAGTTGGCCTCATTGGAGGAGGAGCTCAAACATCTTCGCCTAAGGGATGCAAAGTTGACTCAAGTAGTTATGGCGGAGGTGTGTGGATGTTGTGAAGAGACGGGGCAAGGAGACCATGAGTGTCCACGTTATATGGAGCCGGTTTATGGCCCAAATCTCGTGAAGATCCCTTTTGATGTCAATGACGTGCAAGGGTATGCTCCCCGGGCTCAAAATGATCCATACTCAAACACTTATAATCCCGGGTGGAGGAATCACCCCAACTTCTCTTGGAGGGACCCGAAGGCGAACTATCCACCTCAACTAGCACCACCTCAAGCCTATACCCCATCTCAAGCCTATGCACCTCCCTAAAACCGACCTTTCCAACCAAGAATCGAATTCCAAGGCTATCAACGGAGGCCCGAGTTTCAAGGATATCCCCAAGGGCGTGGAGGATTTATGCCAAGGCAACCAATGCTACCTCCACGGAAGCCCGAGAAGAATGCCATAGGTGAGTCTTCAGATACTCAAATCGAAAGCCTAAAGAAGTGTCTCCAATCATTGGCCTCAACCGTCTCTACATTACACGACACCGTGTAAGGAGTGCCCTCGATTCAAGCCTCTCTCATATGCCTCGAGACACAAGTTGGGCAACTCGGGACTTCGATATGTGAAATTCAAAGGAGCAAGATGAAAGATAAGCTCCCGAGTCAACCCGAGCATGTCAATGCTATCTCGGTGTTGAGAAGTGGTAGGAAAGTTGATAATCATGTGGAGATGCCTAAGGAGAATGAGGTGGAGGAGACTCTTGTCGAGGAGGATGATGAGCCGATTGAGGAAGTTGAAGTCTCAAAGGGTAAATCCGTTGTTGATAAGGGGATCGAGAAGGAGAAGTTGAAGTTGGATGCACGTGAGGGCTTACACAAGACGGATACACCTTATAGGCCACCGGTCCCTTACCCGAACCATTTGCAAGACACGAAGAAGGAAAGTCAATTCAAGGACCTCTTCAACACGCTCTCGAAGGTAAACATCAATCTCCCACTATTAGACGTTATCAAGAACGTCCCGGCATATGTGCAATTCTTTAAGGACTTAGCTTCGAAAAAGCATAGATTTGAGGATAATGAGAAAGTCATGATTTCCGAGATTGCCTCTACCACTATACCTCGAAAAGAATGCGGCCCGGGAGCCTTTGTGATGAGGATCACTTTTGGGAATGGTAAGGCGACGACCGGGATGCTTGACTTAGGGGCCGACTTCAACCTCATGCCTTATTCGATTTACAAGCAATTGGGGTTGCAAGGACTTAAGCCTACACAGATGTGTCTACTACTAGCGGACCGTACATTGAGGGAACCGAAGGGCATTATTGAAGATGTGTTGGTCAAAGTTGGGTCTATAGTGGTGCCGGTGGATTTCGTGGTCCTTGACGTGGGAGATGTCCCGAATACCGGGAAGGAGCATACAATTTTGCTTGGGCGACCCTTCATGGCAACGACCAACACCATTATCGATGTCAAGGATGGACGAGTCACCCTTTCGGTTCATAGAGAGACGGTCACCTTCACGATGAACAATGCTCGGGAAGCTCAACCCAAAGTTGGCCAATTGCTCATTTATGGACGACATACCCTTTCGGCTCATGGAGAGACGGTCACCTTCACGATGAACAATGCTTGGGAAGCTCAACCCAAAGTTGACCAATGCTCATTTATGGACGACATCGACAAAGAGGTACATCCCGAATCTCTTTGTACTTTTGTTCATTGCAATGATATTGTTAAAAAGAAGAAGGTAGTGGGGCCGGCATTGAAGGTGAATGATGATCTTAAGGTGAAAATTGAGGAGTTAAGTAGGAAAAATGAGGTTGGAAATGGTAATGGTTCAAAACCGCGCAAGAAGGGAGCGAAAAAGAAGCCCAAGGGTCGTGATGTGAGTTTTGAAGGGGTAATGATTTGAGGAAATTTTCGGTGCCCCCAAAAAGTAAATGGCAAATGTTTTCTTTGACGAGGACGAGGAGTTTCGAGAGGCTCGTCAAACCGTGCCCGGTTGACTATGAATTGACAAAAAAGTCGAGCTCACGACTTTAAACCAAGCGCTTCGTGGGAGGCAACCCACGTTTTTCCTTTATTTTCTTCTTTCTTTTTGTTCTCTTTCTTTTCGTTTCTCTTATTTTCTTCCTTTTTCCTTATATATAAAAACAAAAAAAAGAGTGAAAAACTTAGCTAAATCGAGTTAGGATTATGTTCGTGGGGTTAAAAATCAATAAATCGGGGCGAAAGTTTGCAAAATATGACCAAGTATGGGAGAAGAAGACAGGGCGTTCGCGACCCCGCCGGGCGGTCCGTGACCTCGCGCCACAAGGACCCCCAACTTCTGCAGCGTTCAGCCCGCGCGGTGACCCTACCCTCGCGCGCGGATGGCACTCGCGACCTCGCGGGGTAATCTGCGCCTC